GTAGTAAATTAACCCATAATTTTAGAAGATGTAATATATTCAAGACTTGGTTTGTGCTAAAGCCCGTGGCCAGAAATAGTAAGTGGACAAATAAATAATAATGGTTATGGCTGAGAGAGAGTCTGTTTGTAAAAGTGGACTTTTTAACAGATCCAGGCATATGTGTATTGTGGGTGTCTGAGCTGTTACCCTGAAAGTTAGAATGTGAATCAACTTGCTCCTCCTCTGTGAATGCTGAACAGGAGCGATACTGCTAATCTGCTTTGTATTTCTGTGTTTCATAGAATCATAGGATGGTTTGGGTTGGAAGAGACCCTTAAAGGTCATCTAGTCCAACCCCCCTGCAAAGAGCAGAGACATCTTCAACTAGATCGGGTTGCTCAGAGCCCCGTCCAGCCTGACCTTGAATGTTTCCAGTGATGGGCCATCTGCCACCTCTCTGGGCAGCCTGGTTCTGTATTTCACTGCCCTTATTGTAAAAAATTTCTTTATTTTATCTAGGCTAAATCTACTCTCTTTTAGTTTAAAACCATTGCCCCTTGTCCTATTGCAATAGGACCTACTAAAATGTCTGTCCCCATCTTTCTTACAAAGTCCCCTTTAAGTACTGAAAGGCTGCAATCAGGTCTCCCCAGAACCTTCTCTTCCTCAGGCTGAACAACCCCAACTCTCTCAACCTATCCTCATAGGAGAGGTGTTCCATCCCACAGAACATCAAAAGGGAATAATGATGGTATTCTTTGAGTTCCTTTGTGGAAGAGCTATCCTTTCCATATCCTGGAGGTAAGGTTAGTGAGATTCACAAATTTCACAGCCATTCTCTGTGTATTATTTGCTTCTAAACCAAAATGAACTGTGGTCACTGAGGATCAGTGCAAAATTGTTAGCTAGAGAATGCTTTCAGTAGCAGCATCTTTAGGTTTATAACTGTACCAGAAATATTTGTGTCACAAACAAAAATTTCCTTTTGCTGAAAAGAATGTAGACACACCAACAGTTTATCACAGTGCTCTGCAGGAGTCACTGGTTTGATAGGGGCTGCAAGCACCAGGTATTCCTGCTTTGCTTTGAAATTATGCCCTTTGCACCCCGAGGTGCAGCTTTTTTTTTTTTTCACCCAGAAATTCTGTCCAGGTTCTCATTGGAAATCTGAAATGTCAGCCTTAATATGAGAAATGGCAGCCAGATTGTAGAAGGATTTTAGGTATTTGCAGCCCCAAATAGCTACCTGTGAAGATTTCTAAGAATAATTTTGTGCTTAACCTCTATTACTTTTAGCCATCTAAGAATATTTTTTAAGTCTTTATCTTTGGGAACCTTTTGAAGCTTAGTAAGGGTAAATCTGAAGGAACAGTGAAGTATGAAATGGGACAAAATTTTAATTTGAAAAGTTTGCTCTTAAACCTTTTTTGAGGTTTGTCTAGATACCTGCCCTTGCACTTTGAATTGATGTAATATGAAATAAGCCTGTATAGTGCAAAGTACTCTGAGAATGTTTCATTAATTTTTGCTGCAAGTGCTACATAGGAAAAAAAACAAAACAAAACAACACACCAGAATAAAAAACAGTAAGGCCTTGAAAAATGATATTTACAGTATTGGTTGTGAAGCCTTACAGACAGCTTCTCATGAAAGCTGTCTGAATACTCACATCAAGTATTTAAATAGTTTTTCAGTAACAATTTAATGTGAAGTTATGCTGTAATTAGAAGTCCACACACCTCTGAATTCCATATTTAGAGACAAAGCATGAACTTAAATGGATCTTAAATCTGAGATTTTGCCTGACAAGGAGGAGTCCTCTGGTGTAAAAGGATATTGTGTTCTGTTCCTTCCTGCCTCCTAAATAATGGTGCGAAGGGCACTGCCAGGCTGTTACGGCATTTGGGCTTTGTCTGCTTCCCCCATCATATTTACTAATAGGGATTAGTATTCATAATTTAGCTGATGATTCATTTGCTAGTACATAGCTGAACACTTTCAGCTCATTTGGCAGTATGTGTGTTGGCACAGCAGTCATCATGGAAGCAAAATGTATGTGTTTGTATTCGGATCTTGTGGCAGATGTGTAATATAAAGGAGCTACCACTTTGGCAAGGCCACTTTCATGGCTCTGCCCACATTTTAAGTGTTCAGTTGTTATGATCTGTGATCGTGGCTCATACTGATATTTATTTGCCTCTTCAGAATGAAAATAGCACCGTCCTGTTTTCCTTTTTTGGTTCTTGTGATGTTGCAAAGATAGTGCAGCATGGTACAAATGCTGTGGAAACAGAACTTTATAATGTACTTTTTCTCAACTGCCGTATTGGTTCTGAAAACAATTTGTAACCTGTCTGTCTCCATTTGGCAATCGAAAAGCAAGGGCTTGTAACCAAAGCTTTAAAACCTGCAGGTGACTCAATTTCTGCATACAGTCAAGTACGTTTAAATAATTCTATGTGGATAAGTATGTAAGGAACAAAAAAGGTCAAGATAAGAGGAAATACATACTTACTCTCTCTTTTTTTTTTTTTTTTTGTAAAACTTTGAGCAAAAAAACATGTTTTGCAGAGTGAACTTAAGTCTTTCATGTGCCTGTATGTTAAATACTAAGAGCTTGCCAAGATGTCTGTATAGTTTGCTCCCAATACAGGGTTTAACTATTCTTCTTTGGTAAGTTAATATGCTGAATGAAATTCCTGTTTCTAAAGGACTTTCTCTTAATTTCTCATTTAGAGGATAACTTTTTTTCTGAGAAAATTCAACTAGCCTGCTTAATTTCTGGATTTTTGTCAATATTAAAGCTATGGCATCAAACAGTTATGATTATTGGGATACTGTGTCTCAGTTTTAGCTAGTCGTCTCCCTTTGTGCAGGTAGAGGAGAATGAATACCTAAGGAAGTCTGAGGACGGAAGGACCTGGAAGGGAGAAGAAACAGCAGTAACTTCACTACTTGTTTCCCTTTACACTACACAAACATGCCATGCAAACACCACACGTTAAAAAAACCACAATAAAAATTGCTAAAATAAAACTTGACAATGGGGATATTGAACTGTCTTTGTAAGTTAAATTCTGGTTGTGGTTAATTAAGTAAAAATGCTGCTCCAACCACGCTATCTTGGGTGCCCTATTATTAAATGAATGGAAAATATAGGAGGAAATAAAACTCTTGCTTCTTTACTTGCTGGAGCGTTTATTTCCCTTTGTCCATATGTGTCTTGCGAGAACACCAAGCATAACAAGTAGTGTTTGCATTTAGTTCTGAATACGGTGAGGTCCATGAACACTCTTATCTCTGGGAAAGCAAGCTCCAAAGCCTGTCTGGCAGCCCAGAGAGTTCACATTTTTGCATGTTTGATGGATGGGTTCATTGTTCTAGTGAAGCATGGCTGTTGTTGGAGGTTGTGGTCACAGGAGGAGAGAGGCAATCCATCTGTAATGAGGGGCAGTTCGATGGAGGCCTTGAATGCCAAGGCAGAGATGTAGCGTTTTGTTTTTTATTTGAAGTAGAGGGCCAGTGAAGAGACAGTACCTTGTTTTACAAGGGTTGTTTTTTTTTTTTATATATATTACAGAGAAGGTGGGAGCTGTATCCTGTACAAACTTTAATCGTTTTAGATGTTTTGGCTTAGTTCCCAAGTGTAATGAGTCTGGAGGTTGCAAGTGCACGTATTTCTATAGCCAGATCTCTGATCAGATAGGGAAATCAAACCTCTGGCCATTCACAGGTGGCGTTAGACTTGCCTGCCTGAGCATCCTTAGGAGGAGGTTTCACAGGCTGCATACTAGCTAGCAGGCAGTGTCTGCCATCACTGGAAACATTGTGGCCTAGGGAAACTCCTCAGAGCAGTTCCCATCAGTACAGATAGTGGGTGTGTATTTTAAGTACCTCTGAGGATCAGGAGCTTGTGTTGGGGCAGAATCTTAAGGTAGATCTCATCAACCACGCAAATTCTATAACTTGTGTTCCCTCCTTTTTCTTTTCTAGACTGGTTATAGGTATTTGAGGTTAGTTGTGATAAGGGTAACTGAGCCATTTTCAGATCAAGAGGCAGCAAATTAAGAATAGCAACTTTTCTTCATGGAACTAGTCATAGTTGTACTAGTGTACCATGGATGTAAAACTAAACATACTACCAGTCTCCTTACACATCTTGTTTATTTAACACTGGTTGTATTTAAGAACAAAAAATGAGAATGCTTTCTGAGGGTAGATTGATATGATACTGTAATTGATTAGCTTAAAGACTGTGTCTGAATACTGCATATGTGGCTGATGTCTCTTTGAGGAGAACATAAAAAGCTTTCTGTAAGTGTGAAGAATGCTAACTATCTTTTCCTCCTTTTCTTCTACTTTTAGGCCTGTGGGAGACATGCAAAGGGAGGAATGAACAAAACTTCTTAAGGGCTGAGAAGAAGTTAAAATGTGGAACACATCTGCTGTGGTTCACTGACATTTCTGTTCTTAGATTTGTTCTTTGAACAAACTTCTCTGAAAGGTGGCAGGAATCACCAGCATTGTTAATATAGAATCAAAACTGTGAAAGAGCCCTGTGTTCACTAGAAAATTGGAAGTTTGACTCATCCTTAGACTTTGAAAATCAGAATATATTGTAAATTGTATACCTATTCACTGAACACAACATTCAGGAGTAAAATACATAATGTGATCACAATTTTCACTTTCTTAGTCTTGTTTCATTTGCTTAAGGCTTTGTTTGACAATTTCAAACTAAACAATAACAGATTTAAGTATCTAAGGTAATGCAAGTGTAGGGCTAGTTACAAATGTGTTTCTTTTTTGATTTGAAAAGTTTGGCTGTTGACCTGTCTCTTTTCAGCTCAATTCTTGTACTTTGTTCATTGTCCTGGTATTGGAACAAACAGCACATAAACTTATTTAGAGGAGAGGAGGGTTTGTGTGCACCAATATTTAGTTTATTTTAGGTTAAGTTTCTTTAAAAAAAAATATTCTTAAATGCAAACATTTTTTGCTGTATTTTTGTCTTGCAGGTTGATCCAGCTTTTAAAGAAAAATTGAAACAGAACACTGTGACACTGGAATCTGAATATGAGGTAAAATAAATTTGTTGCTCGGGGCTCATAACCTTGGCTACCCTTGATTACCCTGGCCACTGGTGGGTCGTATTTGTCCCTAACTAAAATTAGATCAGCCATCTGCCTTTGACTCACTGATGTCCAATAAAAATAAGGTTTTATGTAAAGAAAGGTTTTTGAACATGCAGTGCTTCTTTCTGAACACAGTTTTACTTTGATGTCCAGGTGCTGAGTACAGTGGTACAAATAAATTCCACTATTTCTGTAATCAGCTTAGTCTATGAATGTAGAGCTGATGTTGGCCTTAAAATGTGTATATGTGTATGTCAACATTTCTACTGTGTGAGTTTTGATGATCTTTAGACCAAATTACAGAACAATGTGTTTGATGTACTTTCTGTTATTTCTTGCTTCTGAAAATTAGGTGTATTTTTCAATCAACGCCTGTTCCTTTTTCACTATTTCAGAAAATTTTATAAGTATTTCACTCTTTCCTCAGCAATGCATTTTCTAAAAACATCACTGAGCTGCAAGATGGCTGTTTTGGCCAAATTAATATCCAGAGTTTTGTAAGTCTTCAGATTTAAACGCCATGTTAGAAAAACTGGAAAAAGCTCCCCTGGATCCAGAAAAAAAGGATAAAGCTATTTAAGATAATTTTAAATGTTTTTAAATTACTTGGACCAAATGTGCAGCTGACACTATCTCTATGGTCTTTATGCTGAACATGGGTTTTCTTTTTCTTCCCATACCACATTCTTCTTACAAGCCTTTGAAGAGCTTGACTGCACCCATAGCTCTTGTACTCAGGTGTCCAAATGACAGTACATGTCTTGCTAATAAAGCCTTTCTATTTTACATTACTTTTTTGTGATTTGTTTGAAATACAAATGGTCAGTTTTGTCTTTATTTTTACATGCCTGATTTCCCAGAACACCAGCCTACCTGCAGGTTTGTGGTAGTGTTTTGCCATTATTGCAAACAGTTTTGGGCTGCCCCCTTTCTACAAAGAACTGTTTTATGGTGTAGGGAATTAAAAGATTTGATCCCTGCGTACATATGGAAAGCTCCAATGGAGACTCAAAACCTACAAATTTGTTAAGTTTTGATTGCCTCTGGGATTGTTGTGTCTCCCACTTTCTATAGACTATACTGTAAAGTTGCTCTGATTTATTTATGTGGAAGAACCACAAGCAGTAAAAAGAACCACATCTTTCTGTTTAACTCACTACCTCACCTCAAAATCAACTGATCTGTATTCAGATATGCCTTGCTTTCTCTCCAGAAGATAAGTAAATAGTTGAAAGATAATATTTAAATGACCATCACTGCATTAACTTTATGGCTAAATCAATGGTAATAAAATACAACTGGCATAACAACATATTACAAGCCTACTTGGGTATTGGGGCTCCTTCCTGATGGACGGGAGTGACAGAAGCAATCTTACTTTTTTGTTTATCTAAACTGCAGAGAGTTCCCAGGCAGAAATTCTTACACAGTAGTGTGGGTGTTATAGAGGGCAGACCAGTTCAACAAAACAAATGGATTTGCATTTCCACATAATGAAAATAGATTCAGATTATTGTTTTGAACTCTAATCTCAGTATATACTTTACTATGGGCACCAACTTGCAAGCACTAGCCATATTAATTTCTTGCTTCAGTGAAACCTGTGGAACTACCGGCAGCCATGCCAAATACTTCGCAGGCTCCACACTGAGTGTGTGACAGTTTTAGTCAATGTTACCTCTATATTCTGGTGGACAAAATCTAACCAATCACTGTGTTACAGCTGACATTTAGGAGAGTAGTGTTCTGTTGGCCTGGTGTGTTCCAGGCTAGGAGGTTTTAGGTGAGTTTTTTCCCCTTTATTTTTTTAACTTGCCCAAAATACAGCTCTTAAGAACATCTAATTCTATACAGAGGTCACATTGGAGGATTACACTAGTGGCTGTTACTAAATATGGTATGATAAGAGATCAAGGGCAGTTAAAAAAAAAATGCTGTTTTGATATGTAAAGCCTTATTTTACAATATTATTAGCTTTATATCTGCAGCTGTTACTGAGGATACCAAGCCAGCTCTTTTGAAGCATGGTTGCCTGATGCATGCAAATGTCCATTGGCCCTCCCTAAGACTTTAAAAAATATCTTATTGTCCTTATAGAAATGTACATATTGAATACATACTGAAATCTTTTAGAATGTCATAATTTCTGGTATATGCATACACCTTTATGGGCATATTGCAAAAGATAAAGACATTTCTGATATTTCAGACGTTGAAGTCCACATTTTGTTTCTGATGTGGTGGTGGTGATGAAGAAAGTTGTAATCACAGATTTAATCAATTTACTGTGAGGAAATGAACATAAAGGCATTTTCTCACTTTCTTATTTAGTAAATGATACCTTCTCAAGCTATACAAAATTGACTTTATTTCGTATAGGAGTATCTCTGGCCAGGATACTACTTTGAGGAAGAAAGAATCTGCATGTGTAATTCGTACTGCATTTCTTATGTCTCAGTTCTGTTAATAATGCCATTTATCTTGTGCCTTGGGGCATGCCAGAGGAGCAAGCTACCTTTGCATGCATTCTCCGTTGTTTATGCATTCCTCTCACAAGCTTATGTGTCCTCATATGGCTAATTAGTCCTTGCTGCTCCCTTTTGCGTAATAAATCATAGTTCTGTCCACTAGTGACTACAGAATGTAGTTCTGCTGCTGAGCTGGGCCTTGTAGAACACACTGTAAAAAATGACAAGTGTTTGACCTGTGACAAAAGCTTACAGTATTTTATTTGAAAGCACAGAAATATTGTTTGAAAGCAGGGGATTAAAAGCTGATTAATGTGATGAGTGAAAAACATTCTTGAGTATGTTTAACAATCGCAGTCCATTCCTTTTCATTGGTTTAAATGCGATCTCAAAATAACATTCCTTATGCTAGCACTTGGTTTCTGTACTTCTGTGAAATTAATGGTCTAGTATACACTAAAAAATCTGGCCTCAGTCAGTTACATCAGACCCCAAAATAAGGAATTGTTGTTTAGGGTTTTTCAAGCAAATAAAAACATCTTTAAGAAGAATTTATTAACATTTTACAATGGAAAATGAGTTTAGCTTGAGTCAAATCTGTGGTATCCAATGGGAACCAATGGCAATTGAAGGCAGAGGAGAAAAATATCTAAATAAATAAAAAATGTGAAGGATTGCTATGGAAACGGTAAATGAGAAGTTATAAAGCAGAGAAGATTGAAAAAAAGACACTAAGGACATCAGAGAGTTGTCTGATAAATAAGCTGACAAGGATCTGCATAAGAGGATGGTGTTGCAGCAAACTAAGAATAAAATTATGAGGATGTAAAATCATGAATAACCACGTTGGCAAAGTAGTACTGTTCAAAAAAATGTATGTGTATTTTTTTTTAGAGAAAAGAGTCCTTTCTATTTAAATCAGAAGAGACAAGGGATGTACTTCCAAGCCTCTTAATAACCAAAGAAATTGTTATTTGGTATCTGTTAGGCTCTGATGGTTTATAGCTGAGTTCCAAGAAAACGCTTGGGAGACTTCAATGGCTCCTGAAAATCTCAGTCTGGGAATGATGGTTCTTTGGGAATCATCACTGAGCAGGAAGGTGATATTTTTAAGTGTTCTGTGAGATTTGGGACACATTTGGGCAATACTCAGTACCTTTCTTCAATGATACGGAAGAAACTATAAAATCATTACTGATGTTCAAGTGACAAGAAAGTATTGAAACAGTAAAAGTATGGCAAGTCAGGGACAGAGAGCTATTCACATTACTTGGTAAGCTGGGCCCATTAAATGAGCAAAGTACCTTTTAAAGTAGCTAAAGTTACTTTTTTAAAAAACTGGAAATGCAGGCCAGAGTAGACTGCATTATGGGAAAGCAGCAACTCTGGAAAAGATTTAGGAGTTAGTAAATAAACAATTCAGATTGATCTTCTACTGTGATGCTGTGGCACGAAGAGCCAGTTCAGTCTTTATGAATATAAACAGGAATGGCAGATGGTAGGAACAGGTGATTTTACTTCTGAGTGTGGCACTGATGAGGCTAGTGCTGAAATACTGAATCTACTTCTGGTGTCCAAATTTTGAACAGGGCTTTAAAAATGGGATAGGTTGCAAAACAGGCTTATAATATTAGTTTAGTGCTTGAGAAAATGCCTTAAAATAAACTTAAAGATTTAAATCTTTTTAAAGGTACCGAAAAGAATGTTATATATACCTACCTTCAGAAGAAGTAAGCGCTAACTATTGAAGTTTTTTTTTTTTATTGCAGCAAAGATACTAAAATTAGAAATAGTCTGTTATTAACATATGGGAACATGATTTGAACACAACAGCAAGAAAATGGGTTCTCTGTCTTTCAGAATATCAAAACTGTAAAACTTCTAAGTTTTCCTTCAACTGGTTGCAAGCTATTGGACTCACCGTGGTGTAAGTGAGGGAACATGCTGGTCTGTGAAAAGTCAGTCTAGAGTACACTGCTTCCTTTACTTGAAGTATATGAATGCTGAGCAGTTTTTGTTCCTTATAATTTGGTAAATCACAAAAGGTCAACATTAGCTCTGGACAGAAGTTGTGTAACGGTTTATCCTGAGAATTACAGCAAAAGTGTTGTAACTGCAGTATTAAAATGTTTATTCAGGATAGTTCAAAAAGTAAAATCAGGTATATGGAGAGGTGGCTTGGCAATATAACCTATTTACTGTCTTAAGAGTAAAAGAAGAATTTGAATAATCTCTTCTAAAAAGATTCAAGCCACTTAATAATGTTCATTTGACTTCGGGGATTGTAGTGCCAGCAGAATGGATGAAGCATTTTTTTCAGGAAGGGACAGTGTAGTAACATAGCAATTTATAGTATTAAATAGATGCATCAAAGTGTGTGGACATGAGGACTACTCCAGAAGGAAGGTAATTCCTGAATGGCAGTAGTTGAAATCTGCAAGTATCTTCTTGCTACTGTTATCAGCACTGGAGGATTAC